CTTGTCTGTTCCCCTTCCCCCAATTCCCCAGCGCTGTTCCCATCCCCCCAATTCCCCAATAAAAATCTTTAAAAAAAAAAAAAGAATGGAAAGCTGAAGCTGCTTGAAGATCGTGCCTCTTCCTGTCTATTGTGTGAACTCACTGAAGAAATTATGCTAGATAACTTAGAGGGGAAAAAGGACAGGTGCCTTTATTTAAAACAGGAGGAAAAAAATGGAGATTTCCTTAGGTTGGAAAGGAGTGTAAACTGGTGTGTCCTCCTTCCCAAACCAGCACCCTGGAGAGGTGCCAATACCTATGGTTTGCTTAGAAAGGCCAGACCTCTAAACATCAAGGTTCTTAAACATAGCAGGGATTCCCATAGTCTGTGGAAACAGAATCCCTGCACTTCAAGGATCCGTGTGGCTTCAACCCCCAGAATCTCAGCAGTAACCAAGGTGGGCTGAAGACTGGAGCGGTCTTTCCAAACACTGTATATGATCTGGAGGTATTATGGGGAGGAAATCGACAGAGAGTAAAGTTTCCTGCCATTCTGATGTGATAGGGGCTCAGTCAACTTTAAGTTAATTTAAAGAAAATAAAGAAACACCCAAGTTTGTGATTGCAATTCCCATACTAGGAAATACAGGGTTGTCAGAAAAGTCATGACGTATTTTGTCTGTTTTTCAAAGTTCATTTATTTACATAAAGAACAAAGATCATTCAATGATAACCTTTTGCCATCTTTCAGTGAGCTTCAAAATTCCTCGTTCATAGAAGGACCTGTCTTTATTTGTGAAAAACTGAACAAGGTGCTGATTTACAGCCTCATCTCAACATGAGTTGAACGTTATCATGCAAGGAGTTTTGAAGATAGCAGAAACAAGTGGAAGTCTGACGGCACAAGGTCAGGCAAGTATGGCGGGTGCGGCAACACATCCCATCCAATCTCCAATAATTTTTGACAGGTGATCAAACTTGTGTGCTGTCTCACGTCATCGCGATGGAACACAACTCCTTTACAATTAACAAGCTCTGGATGTTTCTGGATGATGGATTCGTTCAAACTGTCCAACTGCCTACAGTACACATTCGAATTGATTGTTTGGTTCCTTGGTAGGAGTTCGAAAAACATGACACATTTAACATCCCACCACACTGAGAGCATAACCTTCCTCTGATGAATGTCTGCTTTTGATGTCGTTTGAGGCAAATCATCACGTTGGGACCAAGACCGTTTGCACACCACATTGTTGTAAACAATCCACTTCTCATCACCAGTTATCAGTCACTTCAAAAAAGGATCATTTTCCTCATGTTTAATGAACATATTGCAGATGTTTATATACGCTGTCAAATGAACTTCTTTGAGTTCATGTGGAACCCAAATATTGAGCTTGCTTATGTATCCCAGCTTCTTCAGGTGGTCGTGAAAGCTTGGCTGATGATGTTCAATGTTTCTGCAATCTCTCGTGTCGTGTAACGTGGGTTTGACTCGATCAATGCCTTTATTTTGTTGTCATTAACCTTGGTGGGCCTCCCTGACCGAGGAGTGTCGTTGAGATCAAAATCATCAGCGTGGAATTTCATGAACCATCGCTGGCACTGACGTTCTTGTAGAGCATTGTCACCGTAAACTTTACGCAACTTTTCACAAGCTTGACGTGCATTCTTCCCTTTATGGAAGTAAAACAGTAAAATATGGCAAAAATGCAGTTTGGTCTTCCATCTTCAACTTGTTATAAAATCTCCAAAACTCAACCAAATCACTCATTTTTTTTTTAGAATGAAGCTAGAACTGTCAGCTGTCAAATGACATAGCAACAACATAGATGCGAATAACTCTAGTACTTCCAAAAATGAACTAGCTCCATCTGTCACAAACATGAGTCATGACTCCTCCGACAACCCAATATAACATAAAGAAAGCAAAAAGAAATGGAAAATGGACAGCAATGGACAAGTTAAGTTCACACAACAGGGGACACTGATGCTAATATCACTCAAGTCTTGCAATACTGAATAATGTGGCAGCCCTAGTTTTATTAGGTGTGCGGCTCCCTCATTCTCCCTAGTCTCCCCATTCAACTCTGTTAAGGTTGGCTGCTCCATTTCATTCCTCTAGCCCTAACTAGCCTGATGCAGAGGTTGGCATCTCTACTAGGTCTGTTAAGGTTACCCTGCTTTCCCAGAAAAGATAACAGACTGTAGAGGAGTAAGTCAGATAAGCAAGTTTGCTAATTTTCTGTGCAGTTTCCTAATGTAAACCAGAAGTTAGACTAATGAGAGCTGATATTCAGCTTTGTGTGCACTGGTAAGACCATACCAGCTGTTAAATTATGGAAACTTCCCTATCAGTCAGTAAAAACAAACTTCCTCAAGCCTCTAGCTCGCTCTCGACCTTATCCAGCTTTCCCATGACCTTACGCCAGCCAGCATGGCTGAATACTGCGCCCCAACTAGTCATTAAATAGTTCGAACATCACTCTTCATAGTTATTACCTCTTCAGACTGTCATGAAGTCTAACGTGGTTTCAGTTAAAACAAGCTAATGAAATTTGACCCTTACCAACTGCCCCCGCCCCATACATGGATCCTCAACAATTTTTTTTTTTTTGATCCAGGACCAAATTATACTTCTGCTATGCAGCTGCCCTGGTATCTGGCCCTGATTTGGCCTTCAAAGATATTTTCTTAATCAGCCAAGCAATTTTCTTTTTGCTGTTCAGTTTAAAACTAGCTGCTTCTACTATTTTCTTTTTTTTTTTAAGATTTTTTTATTTGGGAATTGGGGGAGGGGAAGAGACAAGTTGCTGTCCTTTTTGCTCTTCAGTCTAGTCGTGGAGGATGTCGCATCACTGGCCCATGTTGGTATTATTATTGTGCTCTTCCCAGGTGAGGCAGATGGGTTGCCAGCCACTGGACGACCGCTCATGGTGACTCTTGGCAGCTCACACCGGCTGCCAGCCACTCACGGTAGCTTATGGCAGCCCACTGCAGCCTACGTCATTGCTGGCAACCCACGGCAGCCCAGCTCCGGGTCGAGCTGTTGTTCACCATCTTAGCTATAGAGGGTGCAGCGTCACTGGCCCTAATGTGGGATCCGAACCAGGAGCCTGTTGCTCAGACCCTATTGGCGTCCCAAGCCAACTCCTACCCAACACGCCACTCGGCCAGCCCGAATTATATCTTAATAATACTGTTATTTAAAAAAGAAAAATAGTACTGGGCCGGCCGAGTGGCGTGTTGGGTAGGAGTTGGCTTGGAACACCAGCTCTGAGCAACAGGGTCCTGGTTCGGATCCCACATTAGGGCCAGTGACACTGCGCCCTCTACAGCTAAGATGGTGAACAACAGCTCGACCTGGAGCTGGGCTGCCGCCGGCAATGACGTAGGCTGCAGTGGGGCTGGCCAGCAGCTGGCGTGCGCTTTTGTGAGCTGTGAGCGGCCATCCAGTGGCCAGTGAGTGACTGCCTCACCTGGGAAGAGTGCAATGATAATACCAACATGGGCCAGTGAAGCGACATCCTCTACAACTAGACTGAAGAACAAAAGGACAGCAACTTGTCTGTTCCACTTCCCCAATTCCCCAATGCTGTTTCCCTGCCCCAATTCCCCAATACGATCTTAAAAAAAAAAGATATAATTCACAGACCATATAATTTACTCTTAGTATACAATTCAGTGGTTTTTAGTACATTCAGAGTTGTGCAACCATCACCAATACTGAACATTTTAATCACCCCAAAAGAAACCCCACACCCAGTAGCGGTCATTCCCCATGCCCCTTTACCCCTCAGGCCGTGGAAACCCCTAATCTACTTTCTCTATATATAGGCTTGCCTATTCTGGACATCTCACATAAATGGAATCATTCAATATGTGACCTTTTGTGTCTGGCTTCTTTGAGTAAAGCTTTCAAGTTCATCTATGTTGTAGTATGTATCTGTACGTCAATCTTTTTTATTGCTGAGTAAGATTCCATTATATAGATGTACCACAGTTTGTTCATTGTTTCTATTTTTAAGCGAACATGCTCATGCTCTTTGAAGCTTGGTCACCCTGTCTCACCTACAAAGCTCATTTACTTTATAATCAGAAAAATCCAAATGGTTACTTTAAGAAAATTCAATCCAAAACTTCACTTCCCTAGGTCTCTTTGTAATCCCATAACACTTTAGAGCACCTAGGGCAATCTGAATAGCTCATCAGTTGGGTCTCTTTTAATCTTCCTCTCCTAGATCTATGCTCTCCGCAGGCCTGAAACACGAGCCCGCTTTCTACGCGGGGCTTATTGGTTGTGGGCGCCAATTAATCTGAAACGTGCCCTTAATTTGGCTCCGGGAAAACCTGGGTCGAGGTTTAATACACGAGATTAAGTTTTCCCAAGAAACCTCCGCTCGGGCTACCACAAGGCCTCTCCATTTCCTTCGCATATGGTGGTTTCCTTGCTTGCACCTTCTTTACCCCTTCGCCCTCGCCAGTCCTCTCCTCCCAGAGGGCACGGAGCCTGAGGGATCTCCAGGTCACAGGACCTTGCAGGCCGACGCCAGGGCGCTGCCTCCTGCTCTCAGGAAAGGAACAGGTAGCGGGCCTCCACGTGTGCACGGGGGCGGCCATCTCGCATCCTGGCAAGAGCAGTTTGCGCGACCGTAGCAGCGGTGAGACCCAGGAGCGGCCGCCCGTACTCAAGATGGCGGCCGCGGGAGGGCGTGGCTAGTGGTCCCGGGGACGTGAGGAGGAGCGGGATCATGGCGGCGGCCAAGGAGCGGGGTCCTGGGGACCAGGAGGAGGAGGAAGTAAGCGCTATGGTGGAATACTGCTCAGCGGGCGGTGGCGGTGATGGCCGCGCCGGCTGTATGTGGGGAAGGGAGTCGGGATGCTGCCAGGGGGGGACGGAGGCCTCCCGGGCGCAGCGCCCTCATCTTGCCCCGGGACGCGCGAAGCCGGGGAGAGGCTGGCCTCAGCCCTGTTTGCCACACTGTGGTCAGAATGGGGGGAGTAGAGGAAGTTGCCCTAGGTAATGTCGCTTGCGTCCTCTCGTGGAAAGCAGGCCCTGGTTTTCACAGAGGTGGGATGGTTTTAATGGGGATTTTTGGCTTCTCTTGTTGACTGCCTCTTCCTGCACACTCGCGTGCTAGCATGTTTACCCCTCTTTCTTCCACCAGGAGCAGTTGGTCTTGGTGGAATTGTCAGGAATTATTGATTCAGACTTTCTCTCAAAATGTGAGAATAAATGCAAGATTTTGGTGAGTCTTCTAGATTTGTGGGATGGTTGTAGATTTTCTTAAATTTAGAACAAGAATGAATGGCGAAATACCTGTCCGCAAAGATTGACATATTAATTCCACGTTACAAAGCAGTGGACTCTAAGGACAATCACAGAAGTACAGAGGGGCTATGGAAGCAGATGGGAGAAAATGCCTAATGAATGTATGGCTGGAGAGAGTTAGGGATTTGGAGGAGGTAGCGTTTTGATATGGAACAATGTATTTTGAAAAAATACAGTTAGATAGGTGGGAGAGGGAAACATGGAGTGAAGGGAAGATATGCACACACAGATTAAACTGTGGAGAAGGGAGAGAAGATACCTAAGAAAAGGCTTCAAAGATCTCACACGCTGCTCTTGAGTTGAGCTATGGATCCTAAGTTACCATCTGTTTTATCACTTTTCTTTAAAATCTGAGCTATCTTTGACAAAACTTCCTCTGTTCTTAACCTTAACTTGAAGAGGATGTTGACTGAAATAGACCTTGCTACTTGGGTATGAATTAAGTAGTCTTCAGGTTGTAGCTGCAGTGATGAGAAGCAGTTTTAGCTTACCTTGTACTTGCCAGGACAAGAAGCTCTAGAGGTTCCCCAGTTTTGGAGATCTGTCACCTTGGTAGCGAGGTTACATGTGGAAGCCTTTTTCTTTCTTTTTTTAATTGAGGTATAATTGACATATTAGATTCAGGTGTACGGCATAGTGAGCGATTCAATATTTGTGCATAATTGTGAAATGATCACCTTAATAAGTCTAGTTACCATCTGTCACCACACATAGTTATAAATTTTATTTTTCTTGTGATGAGAACTTTAAAAATTTAGTTTCTTAGCAACTTTCAAATATACAATGCAGTATTACTAAGTATAGTCACCATGCTGTACATTACAACTGCAGGACTTATTTATTTTATAACTGGAAGTTTGTATCTTTTGACCACCTTCACCCATTTCACCCACCCCTCACCCCCAAGGCTTTTTCTAATGATGATTTTTTATGATCCTATATTCTGATGTAGGGAATTGACACTGAGAGGCCCATTCTGCAATTGGACAGCTATGTCTTTGCTGGAGAATATGAAGGTAGGAGAATGTCAGATAGATGAGACTCCTTTTTTATATGCTTTTCAGAGAAAGTAGCTCTATTAATTTTCAACAAGTTGTCTTTACATTTTTCTGCAGACACTTTTGGGACCTGTGTTATATTTGAAGAAAATGTCGAACATGGTAAGTGATTGCTGTGCTAACTGTTTTTACTGTGAACTATTTCAACCATACTTAAGTACAGTGAATATTAAAATTAAACATTTCATGTACCCATTGTTTGGCTGTATCAAATCCTACCATTTTGCCAGATAATTAAAAAAACATTCCAGATACATGTGAAGCCCTTGTATACCCCTCTCCAAACTTATTCCCTCCTTTCCTTCTATCTTTAGAGGTAATCATTCATCTGAATTTGGTGTTTGTCTTTCCTATAACTGATTTTATATTACATATGTATATATGCACAAAAAGTAGCATTTTTTGGGTATATTTTCAAACTTGATATAAAATATAGTATATTTTACATATTCTATAATCTTTTCAATTAGAGATATGTTTTGAGATATGTTAATATATATAACTCTATTTTCTCTGTTTTTTAGTATTTCATTTGTGATTCCACCACAATTTATTCTCCAGTTAATGGACATGTTGGTGCTTCCAGTTTTTTTTTTTTTACCAGTAATTATTAATAACTACTAAAACTTATTTAATGCCTTCTATATGTCAGACAGTATTCTAGATTCTGTATGTATTAACTCATTTAATCCTCACCACAAGTCTACGAGGTAGATACCATTGTTATCTTCATTTTATATTTGAAGAAACGGAAGCACAAATAACATTCCCAAGGTCATACATGAAGTCAAAGGCAGAGTCAGGATTTAAACCCAGGTGGCCTGCTCCAGAACCCATGTTCTTTTTTTTTTAGCTGAGCCATCCTGCCACCTGTTGGCAGCTCAGGGCAGTTCAGCTTGGGCTGTGAATCGAACCGGTGACCCTGTTGCTGAGAGCTCACACTCGAGTGAGCTCTTAACCAATTGAGCCACTTGACTGGCCCTTAATTATGCTTATTAACTCACCACAAAAATACTGCCATGAATATTTTTGCCTCCTTGTGCATATGTGTAAAAATGTCTAAGGCAGACCCTTAGAAATGGAATTGAGTGTGTGTGTTAGGTTTGACAATATGAAATGATGTTTTTGGGCCAAATACTGACAATTTCATATAGTTTGACTTACTATGTTTTCTAACGTGTAGTATCGGTTTCACTCACAGTAGCAATGTATGGAAGTTTTCAATGTGCTTCATATCCTTAGCTCAGAGCCTCATCCTTCCCTCCTGCCTTTGCCCACAGTTTTCTATAAAGCTATAATCCCAGGCAGTGGCTTGGCAGCAGTTTTTTTCTCAGCTTTTTTTCATGATTAGGAATGTCCTTATGGCAGTCTCTGACTTCAAGTAGTTAAGTCTGACTTTGGTCCTTCATTTTGTTTGGTAGAATTTTAGACCTCCTTACCCTGTAAGGCCAAATCCTTGGCTCTACTTTCCTACTTCAGGGCTGGAGCCTAACAGGCCCGTAGCTTTAATTTCACTCATAGGTTTTTGTCGCTGTCCCCTAGAAATGTTTATCATTTTTGAGTCCCGTTGTGCCTTCATTTGTTATGCATTTTATCTGTCATTTCTCTGTGCTTGGAGCAGGAGTTACATGTTGAACTTACCCCACTATCGGACAGGAAATAGTTTAGTCTAATTCTCTAAACTGGCGTTATTGAGGCTTAACATTATTTTATTTGTATTATATTTTATTATACTGCATCAAACAATATAATAATTGAGTTCGTTTTATGTTCTAGTGGATGCAGAAGGCAACAATAAAACAGTGCTAAAATATAAATACCATACAATGAAGAAGCTCAGTATGACGAGAACTCTTCTAACAGAAAAGAAGGAAGGAGAACAAAACATAGGTTAGTTCACTTAGTTCTCTGAAAATAAGTGATTTAATATTGGCTTTGACAGTGACACATTGCTGCCAGGACATTTTTTGTACTTTGTAGTAATAACTATATGTAATACGTTAATTATATTATTGAGGGTACTCCATGAAAGGTACCAGACATAGATTTAAAATTCAATTGAACTCTAATATAGCAGAGGGCACTGGGGACATATATAAGAAATCTCTATCTGCTTTGCACTGGGAACAATTGTGAGGAGTTTGTCAAGAAATGACATTATTTCCAACCCTTAAGGATTTCAGCAGTTTTTCTCTCTCTTCTTAAAAATTAAAATTCTTTGTAAGTGGAGAGGATATGATGATAGCAGTTCTGGATTCTCAAGGTGTAACCCCTGAGCATCTCCTGGAAACTTTTGGCAGCTGCAGGACTCTTCCCCAAGAAGCTCACAGCTGGAAGAAGCTGGCCTTCTATGTGAGGGAGGAACTCTAGGACCAACTTGCTGGTCCTGAGTCCAGTTTTAATTAGCATTCATTTAGCCTTCTCTAGTTGCTGATTGTCCCAGACTAGAGACTTGCACCCATAGCAGGGCACATATTTGTGGAGATGCACAAATAATCACTTGATGGTTTAAAAGGTCATTACTCAAAAGACTTATTTGAAACTTATAAATATGACTCTAGTATCAATATTCATGGCTTGATAGCTTTATTGTATTTTAAGAAATAAACATTTAAAGGTACATTAATTATGTAGAAATGAATTACATCAACTACACATAACTACATAACAAATCTTTGTTCTTATCATGTATATCCCCAAACTATCCCCCTTTTTAGGCACTCTGTGAGAATAACAGGAACGAGGATATACTTGAAGTCCTAGAGTGAACTTGAAAGGCAGATGCATATCTGATAAGCTTGTCTATCATATAGATACTCTTATTAAAGGAAATCATAAAATTTCCTCTCCTGGGCCGGCTGAGTGGCACGTTGGTTAAGAGCTGGCTTGGGATGCCAGAGGGCCCCGGTTCGGATCCCACATATGAGGGTCAGTGACACTGCCCTCTACACCTAAGATGCTGAACAATAGCTCAACCTGGAGCTGGGCTGCCGTGAGTCGCCG